TTTGTCATTTTACCGAGTAAACAAGATTGGCATACATCATAAGACTCGAGGTCAAATGAATCAAGTACGCCAGAGTGACGTAACTTAGATATGCGTTTCTCGTTAATGTGGCCCAAACGACAATGCCAAAGGTATGTGAGATTCAAACTGTTTGGTTTGCTTCTCTTAACATCTACGTTATAAACAGTGGCGTCTAAGTCTAAGATATAAAGACCATTGGTCATCTTAGCAGTTGCATAGTAAATATCATTTCTGAAAACCGAAAGACACTTGTCTTTGACGTTAATAGAAAATCCTGCTTTGTCAAGACAAGACACAGAAATGATATTCTTGCTAATGGCAGGTACAAACAAGCAATTGTTTAAATGCAACAACAAGCCACTGGGGAGAGATAGAACATAAGTTCCTACAGCCAGCGCATTGACAAGTGCTCTGTTTCCGACCTTAAGCTGCTCCCTCAGTCAAATGTCTAACTTCATGCAAATTTTGCATAGAAGTACAGATGTGAGAACCACATCCAGTATCCATCACCCAAGAGGTGAAATCAGACATGTTGACTTCAATAACGTAAATACCCGAGTTTTTGGGGTGACCCTGAAATAGGTCTCTTAAGCGATGTATCATAGGACGCGCTTCCATGTCCGCGTGGAGCCTTTGGAGCTCCGCGGTCATACTTGCCATAATGATACACTTAACATCTCGCGCGTCGTCCTCATACTTCTTGAAGGAAGTGAGTTCGGGCGCACGGGCATTTGCCTTAGGGGTCTTGGGAGGATCCTTTTCGAGGATGTAAAGTTTCCTCTCACAGTCAAGAACGATTCGTAGGTTCTTCTCCCAGTCAAGAAAGTTTTCCCCAGAGAGTATTTGGCTCTCGAGGATATACTGCAGGTTGATGGAATGACTGTATGTGTTATTTGATGCCATCTACAGAATGAAATTGCAAACTAGGTTATCTATCATGTTGAATAATTAATTAGGCCTTTAATTAATTATTTCCCACTATTTTAACAAACCAACAACCCTCAATGTTGATTCGGAGATTCTCCTAGAGATTCTCTCAATGGGCCAAGATCCATATATCATTAAATTCTAGTTGACCTGAGGTTCGTACCTAGAATTTAACTATTTAGGTGGGAACATAGTTCCAACTGTCGAGTCGCGCTCACAGTTTTTGGTCTTGTGTTGGGCGAACGACAATACTACTTACGGACCAGAACACCGTTTCATTGTACATGTGATTGGCTTTGGCACGTACCACATGCACAACTACTTTAGTTAGGGCTAAGCCCAATTAAGTCATAGAGACCCAACTTCTGGCTGGATGAGTGAGTAAAGTAATTCGACTTGTCACTATGGTGACCCCAACGAACCCGCCTCTGAGTCATCCATCCATTTGACTGAGACTCAGTTAAGTCTAACCCAACGTCTGACAATGACCACTTAAGTGATTCCCGTGACCAGCATAACATACATCGTACTACGCTCTGCTAGGGCTGAGTACGTGACAGTGCACATTAGCCGGAAAGGTGCTGGGCGCCGGAAGGCAATACAGACTTAATATTTTGAGGGATTTTTATATTAATTACAATCTCACCTACGACACATGCCGCGCACGTGTCAATTTACTAGCGTAAAACATACATTCACATGCATTCAAAATACGCAGTAAATAAACGTGTAATGATTGTGGCCCCTAAAAGAAAATAAAACGATAGCTCCCACTGACTTCCAGGCATTTGGACTTCGGGCTATCTCCATTCCTTTAGATTCCCTCGAACGGACTTCGAATCTTTTATCTTTTAACCACCACGTGAGAAAAGAATCCTCGGTTGAGGTAAGAGAGAGAAATAGATTTACAACAAGAGTTTAAGAGATAAGGCACGACACGCAGGCCGTATTATAATCAAATAAACTATAGCCACAATCATCCACCATGCATATCATACATCCACACAGGCAATAGAGATATACATACACCGGGCGAACCGCGCTCGCCCCCGACAATTCTAGAAAAATACTACGTTGGTAATATTTTCTAAAATTTATAAAAATTCATAAATTGATCCAAAAATTATGAAATTTTACCAAGTCATCCTAAAACTATTAAGAGACTTTCGGGCAGGGGCAAAACTGGAAAATAAATTTCCAGGAAACACAGAATGATGAAATTGCCCCTAGTGCAAAGTTTATTCCAAAATTCATTTTAAATTTGAAATATATTTACAAAAATCATGAAAATTAATTTCCAACTTCCAGTAACTATTTTATACATTTATAAATTGGAAAATTAAATTTCCAGAATTTATAAATATTTATTTCCCAAATATATTAATTATATCTCAATAATTGCAAAATAAATTTTAAACCATTTTTCAAAAATCATTAAATTATAAAATTTAATATTTAGAAAAATCAACTTACTTTTTACTGAGATATAATTTTCCAAAATGATATTAGCCATTTTCAATTAATATATATATCTATATATATTACTTGGTAATATATATATACCGAAATATATATATAACTAATTACTAACTAATATTATTTTGTCCAATATATTTATCAACAACTTTATTTCACCTAGAAATAAAATTTCCAAGTTTTATAAAGTTCATTTTGAATTTCCAATATTTATTTAAGATTTATTAGAATTAAATCTAAACAAATACAATTAACTCAAAAATTGGAAAAAAACAATTTCGAAAATTACAATATAATTTTACTAACCATAAAATTAAATTTTATGTTCAATAAAATTATATTAACAATTTCGAAATATATATATTAATATATATTCGAAATTTCCGAATATATGTATAAAATACATATTTTCGGCACAAATAAATAATGAATATTTATTCTAATGATTTATTTAAGTCTAATATTTATTCCAAGACTAAAATAAATCATTTTACTAATTTTCGAAATTAACAAATAATTACCAAGTTAAAAAANAAATTTTATGTTCAATAAAATTATATTAACAATTTCGAAATATATATATTAATATATATTCGAAATTTCCGAATATATGTATAAAATACATATTTTCGGCACAAATAAATAATGAATATTTATTCTAATGATTTATTTAAGTCTAATATTTATTCCAAGACTAAAATAAATCATTTTACTAATTTTCGAAATTAACAAATAATTACCAAGTTAAAAATAATTTTCAACCGAAAAAGTTCTACGAAAAACTATAGTTTTGTACGTTGGCTCTGATACCACTGAAAGGTAACCACGGTAGGGAGGGCAACGGAAATACAAAAATTTAATCTCCCAATAGTGATTACTAGCCAAAGAACACGTACTAAAACTATAGCTAGAGATAGAAACTTATACCTTCTCCGGTAAAGCGGTATGAACGAGAAGTCGAGCAAAAGGTGTTGAAGGAGCAAACGTAGCCGTTCAAGCGTCCGGCCTCCAACTTTGACACACGAACAATCTCCGAAGTCTACTATAATCTTTATGCTAGTAAAGATTATAATAGTATATTAAATATAAAGATTTAAGAGGGATAATATTAATCTTGTATATTAAATAGTAAAAAATATATGAATAATATTTTAAAGAAAATATTATATCAATTTTCTACACCCAAAATAATAACTTTGGAACTCAAAATGTTTTTCCCCTTTCTCTCTCTACTTGGCCGAAAACCTCTTCATGGGGAAAGTGAATGAGCTTTCATTTTATTAAAGTATAAAAGGCAATAACAATAATAAAAAGACAAAACACTTTTGTCAAAGTGTCCTCCTCCATTCATTTCAAAAGTGGGAGACAAGCTCCACTAAGTGTATGTACGAAATGGTGAAGGGGAGGAATTTAATTCCCCTCCTCTCAAATGTTCAAAGTGTATTTTATTTGACATCAATAATTTTTATGATACAAAATAAAATACCCAAAACATTTTAAAACAAGTATATAAAATATACTTTAAAATAGTTTTTGTCAAAATAACTATTTTCATAATTAAAATGATACTCCAAAATAAAATATACTCCAAAACATATTTTGATATATGTATTATTGTTATTACTACACCGTACGTACGCATATAAGTAATAATGCATACATAAATATGCACACCACCATACATACATATATATGATGTAAAAGTATAAAAGTTTACTAAATTGTAAACGTGATATACACATATATATACATTATTATTATAACAAAAAAAAAGTACGTACTAGGTAATAAATACATATACAAAATATATTTACATATTTTATTTTACTATTTTACAATATACAAATTAAATATTATCCCTTTTCATAATCCTACTCTTTAAATTGTCCAAAGTATGTGACCCATATAGGCACTTATAAAACTGGCCACAGTATTGACTCTACACCAATACTATAAGTAATAAGCGGTATCTAGCAACACATTATTACCCCCAGATTATAAGTTTAGACGTTTGCTCCGTCAAAACCTTTCTACGACTAAAACTTTGTATAACGTAGATCCTTTTGTCCCAATGTCTTAACTTAGTGCAAGGGATATAAAATATCCAACTTGTAGCCATTAAGTTATTTACTGATTAACAAGTCTGACTGATGAGAACAGATGTCTAAACTCATCTCAGCATGGCCATGCATTTCTTCAGTCATACTCATCAGAGGGCCCCTACAAGACATTATTCTGCTTGAGTAGCAGTGACAAATTCTTTGTACGTAATCTACGTCTTCGAATACGTGCAGTGGCATGCCCAATAGAAAGCCTGTGTACCATCCTTATTTCATACGGCTTAGGACAATGAATCAAACCATGCGGGTTCACACATTCGAAGAACGTAATACATCAAGTCTGAGGATCGTTATACCAATAGTCGCATTAAGGACACTTAGAGCATAGACTAAAAGTCTAGGCAATGCCCTTAAGGTGGGTCAGGTCTTGCATCCTATTATTAACGATATTATCTGCCTGAGAGTAGATGCGAACACTCCGTCATTTGACCAAGAGACTAGGTCAAACATCTAACTCTCACTAGTATCACACGCATTAACGATATCCTGCTCTCGATAATGCTTCGACTATAGACCGTTCAGAATTATACTAAGTGACAAGATGTCAGTCTCAACATCAGAAGACACATTCTGATAAACATCTTATAATATAATTCTAGGAATGCAATTAAGAGTTTACATTAGCATGAGATGTTTGTAAACTTAATGCATCTGCCTTTACATGATAGAAAATATCTAAGATATTACAACAGCAGTTGGCCATAAGGGCACCAACTCCAACAATCTCCCACTTGCACTATGGCCAATCTGGCATCGGTCGAATGCCCATTGACCTAGTGTGACCCTCATGCTTTAGCTTTCCCAATGGCTTGGTCAGGGGGTCGGCAATGTTGTCGTCTGTTCCTACTTTGCAAATCTCTACATCACCTCTGTCTACGATTTCTCGTATGATGTGATAACGTCGTACAATGTGCTTGGTCTTTTGGTGAGATCGTGGTTCCTTTGCCTATGCAATGGCCCCAGTGTTGTCGCAGAACAACGGGATTGGGTCATCAATGCTAAGAACCACTCCAAGTTCAGAAATGAACTTCTTTATCCAAACACCTTCCTTTGCTGCTTCAGCGGCAGCCATGTACTCTGCCTCTGTAGTTGAATCGGCGGTTGTGTCCTTATTAGAACTCTTCTAGCTAAAAGCTCCGCCATTCAGGCAAAACACATACCCTGCTTGTGACTTGTAATCGTCTCGATCGGTTTGGAAGCTCGCATCAGTGTAACCGATCACTTTCAGCTCTTCCTCACCTCCATATACCAGGAATGCATCCTTAGTATTCCGAAGATACTTTAGGATGTTTTTGACCGCTGTCCAGTGTGCTTCACCTGGATTCCCCTGGTATCTGCTGGTCACGCTTAAAGCGAATGAGACATCAGGTCTAGTACATATCATGGCATACATGATGGAACCAATTGCAGAAGCATATGGGACCTTCATCATGAGTTCCTTCTGCTCGGGACTAGAAGGACTCTGGCTCTTGGAAAGAGCCGTTCCAGGTAACATAGGTAAGGATCCCTTTTTCGAGTTAGACATGCTAAATCGATCAAGGACCTTATCTATATATGTACTTTGACATAGACCTATCAACTTTCTTGACCTATCACGGTAGATTCTTATGCCAAGGGCATAACTAGCATTCCTTAAGTCCTTCATGGCGAAGTTCTCGCTCAACCAAGTCTTTACAGATGTGAGAGCAGGAACATCGTTACCCATTAACAATATGTCATCGACATATAAGATTAGGAATACTATCACACTCCCACTGACCTTCTTGTAAACACAAGACTCGTCAGAATTCTTCTCGAAATCAAAACTAGTGATGGTTTCATCAAAGTGTATATACCAACTCCGAGATGCTTGTTTCAATCCGTAGATTGACCGTTGCAGCTTACATACTTTGGTAGATTCACCAGCAATTGTAAAACCGTCAGGTTGTGTCATATAGACATCCTCTTTGAGGTTCCCGTTAAGGAAAGCCGTCTTGACGTCCATCTGCCAAATCTCGTAATCGTAGAATGCTGCAATCGCAAGCATTATCCGAATGGCCTAAACATATCAAGGTTGGGTTGTATGGTTTTGGGGTGAGAAATTCATTCCAAAAAGGATTGTGACATTTGGACATTAATCCATTTATTTGTTTAAGTTCTTGAGAATTAGTTGACGTAACCGGGGATACAACACTGACTGATGGCAATCCATTAAAGAATCCCTCCCTTTTCCCCAAAGGCTTAGATGATTCATGTTGGAACAGTTGGGAGAAAAGCTTGGGGAAGATTTTAGGCCTAATGGATTTTTTCGGCAGCCGTGCCGGATTTCTCTCACCTCTCTCTAGAGTCATTTTTATATTATCATATATATATATATATATATATATATATATATATATATATATATATATATATAGGGGCCGGTTCCCGTGAGAATGCACCTTGTGGAGAGAAATGAGAATAAAATCTAGCCGTCGGATCTGATGCATCGTGC